ACATAAAGAAAAAAATGTTAACTTACCAAACAACATGGCTTCTTCAATATTACGAACATCCATCAAGGTTAGGAAGTTTCTAAACTCAAAACGATGCATAGGAAAATCCCCCTTCCGTTTGACAATCTTGGTCATGCCATGGATGATGAATTGATGATCCTCCATTTTCCTATAGTCGATTTATAGAGGCCAATATTGCTTTCAACTTGATAGTTTGTCAAGACATACTTTCCAGTAATACGTAATCCCTAAAACAATACATGTTGGAGTATTTAAGTATTGAATCATATAATAAATAAATAGAATAAAATAAGTTAAAAATTAATTTTAAATACATCATGATTGTGTGAACATATTACCTCAGAATCATGAAAGATAATCTCTAGTACATTTCGGTAATTACGAACGTCTTCAACCCGTTGGAACATCCGAATTATGCGTAGCTTGATTGGTGGCTTATTGGATCTGTGGATAGCCTTGATGTCTCCAAAATGCAAAGGCATGATGAGATGATGTTAAAAAGCTTCCTAAAAAAGGTTTTATTGATTTGTGTATGATGTAGAATATTATGGTCAAGATTATTCATATATATATAGTAGTCATTATAAAGTTTACGATTGTTGTAGATTTGTATGATATTTGGGGATTATTGATTTGTACTAATCTCATTAAGGGATAATACCCAATTTATGTTATTAGGAATATCCTAGCAATTCAAATCGGATAAAAATATGGCATAAAAATCGGTACAAATATGTTTTCATATAATAATGATATAATAATGATTAGAAGACAATTTCGATGGAAACAATATGGAAAAAAATCGGTCAGATAATTTGGTAACCAATGCATGCAATTTTGTAGCAAATCTGAAAAAATTTTAGATTGTTTAGGTAAAAAAAAAAGAATTAGTTAAACAAATGGGAAAAATCGTTCATATGATATGCATGAAATTATTAATGCATAAAATTATTTTATTCCATAAATTTTTGATAATTAATTTTACATGTGGGACAACCGTGTTTATTTCTTTTTTTTTTTTTTTTTTTTTTT